CCCGACTCTTGGGATTCTTAATGGAAATACTCTTTCTAATCTTCTGATACTCTGTATGATCTTGGAGTGGCTCAGACTATCGTTATCACTTATAACAGATGTCTATTTACAATTTATATGCACTGCCCAGCTTCACATCATAAAAATTTCCAATAGTTTCATGTTCTTAAAAGGGCCCTGATACCTGTATTGTAAAGAATAGGAACCGTTTTTTCTTTGATGATTTCGAGAATTATCTTTTGAATAATTTCTTCAAAATCCACAAACAGTGGAAATTTAAACGTTCTACTGGAGAAAAAAGTTCAAGTTGCTGGGTTAATTTTATACTACATTCAGTGTTGGAGCATCATCCGTCCATTTTAACAAATTTCTTGTCATATATGACAGGTGACATTGGAGTTACATGTAACAAAGGACAAGCATGAGGAGTTGCTGCAGATAGGTAGCTTCGTGACTCATACCTAGCCGTCAAGGGCCTATGATCATGCTAATTCTCCACTTCACAATCAACTTTCAACACTTTTGCTAGTGCTTGGTATGCAGAAAAGCTACAATGTTGTTTAGACTCGACCGTATCATAGAACTTAACCTTACTGAACAGGGCTATGTCAAAATGTTCGGGCTAGAATTCACATTCAATCCTATTTTGAAGATGATTCATGCTGGTTTACTAATTTTCTATCCATTTTTCACCCTTCTTTATCTTATTTCTTTTCACCAGCTGGTTTATTAGTAAACTGTTGCTGTAAACAAATACAGAGAAAACAAGGGGAGAGGGGAAGCAAGCAAAGCGCATGACTTTAGAATGTACAAATGTGGTTGAATTATTGGTAGTAAAGACGAGTAGAGTAGTTCATCCCGACGGTTTGAATATTTGGCCCAGGAGTTGGGTGAGTCTGAGGGGGTATTCTTTGAAACTGAATCCCCAGCTTGCCATGTAAGATTGAAAGTGGTGCTGTAACTGCTGTTAGCTAGTCTGCAGAGATGTTTGAAACTTGAAAGCAATAGCTCCTGTTTGATTCATGTATAAACTGCCATACTCCCGATACAACTGCGCAAAGAGCGATGATAGCCTTCCGGTTGGATCGACTGCCAAATGCAATCCATCCTGTAGAAGCTTGAGTAGTTCTGCTGGCAAAATTTGGACGCGTCTGGTGGATGGGATGAAGTTCCTATGAGGGTAGGGTTGTAGTACCTGGACGTCACTGCAAGAACCGAAGATTCAGTTGGTCGAAAAGGTCAAAATCAGAGCAGGTTTTAGTTTTAGCAGACGAAGTAAGCACAAGAAAATGGTGAAACTGAAAATTTTCAAAAAATACAAAAATAAAAAAGGTCTTGCAGTTATTGCCATGGATTAATGGATATTGAGCTTGAAGTACAACATTAATCAATGAAGATAATGCGTGATTAAGTTATTAATTTGAAGTATAGAATCAAGGGGACAACAACAGCTAGGTATATGCATTCCTCTTTCAAGTACAAAACTAGAATATGTAGGTGTATGCTTACAGGGAATGGGTCCTCGTTCCTTGTTTTTTTTTAAAACGAATTAGTTGCGGGGCCTCTACTACGTTACGATATGAATCGTCTATTTTTTTAAGTTGCATTTCAAAGATATCCTTGCAAATTATTAGCTAAATCAAAAATATTTGAGACATCTAATTGAGTTCAAAAAAATTAACGAGCACTATGTTATGAAAAACATTCAAATTTCATCATGACAATTAAATGGGCAAAAAGTTTTAGATTTAATTGAATTTTCATAAGGATGATGTGTGAATCAAGAATTACAAAACAAACGGATCGGATCCCTAAAGTTCGATGCAAAGCGGGTTCAATAACTAATCTCCATTTTTATCAAAAAATGGGAATCCCTTTCCTTTTGCCCTGAGACAGAGGCTTATGGCAAAAGAGGTAAAGAAAGACTTGGAAAGAGACTCTAATAAAAGTCATTGAATACACATGAATGATATTTATTAAAAGTTGTTCTTTTTCAAAATTATCATTATTTATAGGAGTAGTTTGAATTTGAACTTAGGTCTCTTTAGACTTTAGAAAGAGAAATATCATTAGGTTAACAGTCAATTGATTAAAGAGTTGTAGAAGCTAAAAACACGACAAGTTGAAGAAATTATTAAACTCCAAAGAGGAACCACGAATTTTTCTTTTCTTTTTAAATATGACACCCACAACTCACACAACTACGTAATATTACTAATTCACATTTTTTTAATATAATATAAGTAAACATGACGTTAATATGTCGCCAACGTGTTAATAATATTAGGTAGCGTTTTATGATGAGAAACCCTTCAATAACGAAAAGGGTAGTGTAAATGTTAGAGATACGTGGAGGTTGTAGTGTAGGCCAGTAAGCAGTAACGATCGAGTGGAAGGACCAAACTCCCTTTCGTGGGGAGCACGAAGAAAGATGCTGATTGCTAATCATATTCCATGATCCCAATCTTACTAAATTTAATTCATCCAAACCCCTTTCTTATTGTATTAAGTTTCTGAAAGTGACCTTCTTTAAGTTAAAAACATGAAATTCTTTGCTCTTGTTAAAAGCAAATGGAGGCTTTATTTTTCCTTCCATTTCAGTGTTGAAATTTTGAAATTATGAGCAAGGATACCTAAATTAACATTCAACTTTGAATTAGAGCAGCGTTGTCTTTTACATGCGAGTTCGAATTCTTATTTATAGATCCTAAAATATCGTCTTGTCCAATAAAATATATCATCGATTGCAAAAAAGTCTACTCGAATAGTATGATACTTTTTATTTTATATTGAATTATTCATGAAAAAGAAGTAATTTTAAACTTCTTATATGAACCTTCTTTCTCTCTAAAAACCTTTATTCTCTCTTTTTTTTTTCTCCTTATATTCTTTTCATATTTGCTTGAAGCTTTAAAGTGTTATTGGGTGGTGGTGATAATGTGAAATAATAAATAAGGTCGGTGGTATTTTTGGGTGATGAAATTGAGTTGAAATTTTGTGTGTGGCTTCTTTGTAGTCATTATCATTAATTGACACATGTTAATAAAATTAATCATCTTTAACTTTGTTATCATAAACTTAATATGTGTCAATCAATAATAAATGCCACAAAAAAGACACACACAAAATGGGTGCAGAACATTTGATCTCGATGAACTTGATGATGTATATGTGCGTGTGTTTTTCAAAAGGGTGTTTGTGTGTTTTCTTTAATTGTTAAACTGTCATCAAAACTTAAACTATAGGGTTCTATTTCTAGTAGTGAACTTTTGATCTCATTGATAAATAAGGCTTCAAAACTTCTAGTTTCAATAAATGCTTGTTAATTTAAAAATGGTTGAATTCTAATTAAGTAATATTTTTGTGTACTTAGTTTGAAAAATTCAAAACAATATTTAAATCATGTAAAATGGGACAAGAAAAAGGATGATTAATTTACTTTAAGTGATATAAAGGGGGAATAGTAATCATGGCCAACAATATCAATGGATGGTCAACAACCATCCCTATTTACAAAACGTACAGAGGAAAGTCGATTGGTATAGAAGATTAATAAATTAAATGTAGATTTTATTTTTGTTTGATTATTTCTAATTTAATATTTGGGTTTTGTAGTACCTTTTCTTTCAATGAAAAGTCAACATTTGGCTTTGGAACATGCCAAGTCGTTTTATTTTACATTTTATGAATGATGCTACTCACTCACCAACTCCATGTTGCTCACTCCCTCTTTTTAAATATTTTCATTATATTTTAATGTTTGCATCAAGTTATTTTAATGCATAGTATTCAAAAGAAAAATATATAAAGGGTGTAGTCAAATTAGGATTTGATGGAATTTTAATAGACTTTAAATTAATATATAGTCAGTTATGAATTAAAAAGATGATTTTAAAAGATTTTGAAATCATAGTATAGTCAAATTTGAATTTAAGAGGATTTTAAAGAATACATCCAAATCCAGAGGTAGTTGATTAGGGTTTTAAACAATACATCCAAATATAAGTATAAAATGCCATAGATTTGTTAGGATTTTAATGAGTGAAGGATTTTGATGAATTTGAAGGTGAGTGATATAAATATCAAATGCCATCAAAACTCCAACCATCTCCACTGTAATTTCGTTTCACGCTCCATAAGCTCAGACAAAAAAGAACTTGCCAACCTCGTCGTCTAATGATCTTTAGGGTTAGCCACCCCTCATCCCTCTTCGCAACCGATCCACTGCTACCCTAACAATGGTACATTCCCAATTGCACTGCTTCCATGGTTAAATTTGGTCATGCAATAATTCCATCATCCGCCACAACAACCTTCTCTCAATTAGTCTCGTTGACTTTCAATTTGGTTAAGAGCTTCTTAGTTTTCTAAAGCATGCCAATTATCTTCCAAGCGTCAAATTTTCCACTATTATTGTGTGAGCTTTCTCTGCTTGAATAGACAAAAAGTTGAGCTAACGAAATACGTTTTCAAAGATTAAGATGCTTGAAACTTGATAGGAAGTTCATACATCAAATCAAAACAAAGTCCCAAATTCAGGTGCGTTGTCTGGGCAAACAAAATAATCAAGAATAAAAAAACTCAAATAAAAAAAATTATAACTCAGTTGGTTAAAAATATTCTACTTCCTTCAGTTATCCCTCTCTAATATCTTGTATTAGGTAAAAAAAGGTCCTCAAAATCAAAGGGCTTGTGGCCTCCTAGAATGGTGTTGGGGGCAGGCTTTAGTGTGGTTTCAAATTTCCTAAACGGCACCGTTTTTGTCAATACTATAAAAGGAATGACATTGGGCCAGATAAAACCATAAAAGGAATGAACGGCGACGGGAACGACATGGTAACGTAATCCTTCCCATTTTATGACAGCAGAGAAAACCATATATTTCCATGACTAATTTCTCCAATTTTTTTTTCTTCTAGATTTTTTTTTTTTTTTTTTTTGCATTTCTATGAATTTTCGAATCAAATTGTTCGTAAAATAAAAAAAAAGCCTGTAAAAGATAATATAATAGAAAAAAAAAGAGAAAAACTGAAAATCTTGAGCTTCCCATTTTCCGCAGTGGCTATATATTCTTCCGAGACCTTCAATGCCCTCCCTTTCTCTCTCACAAACCTCTCCTTCTCTCTCTGGAAAGACACATTTTTTAATCTCGTAATACTCATCTGTTTGGTAACTGAATTTGCATTGGTTAATCACCATCGAAAGAACAAACAAAAGGATTGGAGGGGGCGTATATGGGGAGGAGGTTGAACATGCCCTCTGTTCTTATTCTTACAGTGCCTCCTCTCAGATCTTAATTTTCTGCGCGATTTGGCATCTGGGTTTTCGTTAATCTGCCGGTATGGGGGGAAATCTGATTTGGGTTTTTTTTTTTGCTTTTTCTGAATTTGTTTTGGGTTCGGATCCTGGTGATTTTTCTGATTTCTCTCTGGTTTATGTTTTTTTTTTCCTTCTTTCTTCTTCTGGTAGGTGTGCATAATTCTGGGTCCTGTATTTGATCGGTGAAGGATCGGATGCTTCTAAATTAAATCCAGGAACACTTGTTTTTGAATCGGACTACAATCTGTGTTCTTAATATTTAAAAAATAAGGTACTATTCTTTCTAGTTTGGTTGGTTATCTATTTTCTGCATTTGGTTCTAGTTAGGTGGATTGATAAAAAAAAAAAATATAGACTTTGAGCTGCCGGTGTTGATGTTGGATTGGATTGGATTGGATTGGTGATTGTGTGCATTTTGTTTTTTGGAATCGGTCTACTTATATTGTAGAATTCTATCGGATCCATTGTAAAATGCTCCATCTTTATCGGGTTGGGATTGAGATTTTGATTTGACGTTTACATTTTTCCTTGGGTTGGGTTTGATTTGTGAAGCTTAATTGATGACGTGCTTGTGGCCTGCAGTGAAAATGCAATCCGATAGTGGTAAGTTGTTTATCGGCGGCATATCTTGGGATACAAATGAGGAGCGGCTAAAAGAGTATTTCAGCAGTTTCGGGGAGGTGGTAGAAGCAGTGATAATGAAGGATCGGACCACAGGCCGTGCTCGTGGTTTTGGTTTTGTAGTTTTTTCTGACCCAGCTGTGGCGGACAGTGTCATAATGGAGAAGCACAACATCGATGGAAGGATGGTAATCAAAATAATTTGTTTTTGATGAATGTAGTTTTGTCCTTCAGTTGCACTTTAATGTTTACACAATGACCAAGCATCATTGTGCTTTCTTTTTGGATAGCAGAAATGGCGAAGCAAATTCATTTCCTTGTTACAGTTAGGAGTCTGCGAATGTTTCTGCACAAATTCATTTCCTATGGTTCTGTGTTAAGCTAAATTTCAAATTGAGCTAGAGTAAATCACGGTTGTCATTATTTTATTTTTCTCCAGCGATCATTTTAGTTGATGCATTACTTTGCTCTTCACTTCTTATACTCTGTTAAATTAATCCAGGTGCTTATATAATTTGATCTTGATTTTAACCCTTGCATTCTCTATTCTCAGGTTGAAGCGAAAAAGGCTGTTCCCAGGGATGACCAGAATATTTTGGGTAGAAGCAGTGGCAGCATCCAGGGTTCTCCAGGTCCAGGTCGCACAAGAAAGATTTTTGTTGGAGGTTTAGCATCCACTGTCACGGAGAGTGACTTTAAGAAGTACTTTGAACAGTTTGGAACAATCACGGATGTTGTGGTGATGTATGATCACAACACCCAGAGGCCGAGAGGCTTTGGATTCATCACTTATGATTCAGAGGAGGCAGTGGACAGGGTTTTGCTTAAGACATTTCATGAACTGAACGGGAAAATGGTTGAGGTAAAGCGAGCAGTTCCGAAAGAGTTATCACCTGGTCCCAGTCGCAGCCCTCTTGCAGGATACAACTATGGTCTCAGTAGGGTCAGTAGCTTCCTTAGTGGCTACACTCAGGGGTATAATCCAAGTACAGTTGGAGGCTATGGCCTTGGTAGATTCAGTTCAGTTGCAGGTGGTCGAAGTGGATTTCCTCCATATGGTTCTGGTTATGGAATTGGTATGAATTATGAGCCAGGGTTGAGTCCAGGATTTAGTGGAAATGCAAATTTTAATAGTACTATGAGCTATGGGCGGGGTTTGAGTCCTTATTATATCAATAATTCAAATAGGTTTAGCAGCCCCATTGGGTATGATGGCGGTAATGGAGGAAACACATCTTCGTTTTTCAGCTCAGTCACTCGGAACTTGTGGGAGAATGGGAATGGGAATGACGGTGGTCTTAATTATGGAACAAACTCCACAAATGCCAATTCTTACATCGGATCAGGAAGTGGGACCATTGGAGGAAGTACGTTTGGAAATACTGGAAATAATTGGCCTTCTTCAGCAATGTCAGCTCAAGTCGGAGGAAATAATGTTTCTAACAATAGCAGGAATCTTGGTTATGGAGTTGGGGATAACAGTTACAATCTGGGAACTGGAGGGTATGGAAGAAACAGTGGTGCAAGTGTGGCCCCTACATCTTCATTTGCTGCATCAAATGGTGGTTTTGATGGGACCTTCACTGACTTTTACAGTAGCGGTTCAGTATATGGAGATCCTACTTGGCGTTCATCAAATTCCGATCGAGATGGACCTGGTCCCTTTGGTTATGGGCTTGGCGGTGCAGGCTCTGATGTATCAGCTAAAAGTTCTCCTGGTTATGTTGGTGGTTATAGTGTTAATAAGAGACAGCCAAATACAGGTACGGGATCAATATCTGACGTAAATTATATTTTCATCTTTTTTGTTTTTCTCTTTAGTTTCTTTTTTATAGAAATATAGGGAACTTTCTTTTTTCTAGTAATTCGCATGGGTCCATACAAATTTGGATAAGTTTATATTGCTAACATACAACTCACTACCTTATTGAGCTTGCTTATTTGGCTGGCTATGCTGCAGTTGATCCACAATATTTAACTGATTCGAATTTTTGCATTCAAGCAATAGGTTCATGAAATCTATTTTTTCTCTAGCTGATGTTCCATCGAGCTGATTACTGTAGTATTGGATTATATTTAGTTTAGCATACCATCCAAGAGAGAAACGGCGCTGCAGCTTCTGATGTATAGTGCAGTTGATTTAGGTGACTGTCTAGTCAGCAGTTCAGTAGACTTAGGTTGGACTCATCACAATTCCTCTAGCTTGTTTTACACTCAATTCTGTTTAGTTGCCTTATTAGGATTATACATAATGGTCATGAAGTGTATTGCTGTGGAGTCCTGGGTTTGTTAGGATTTTTGGCAAGTTTACTAAAGGAATGGGGAAAATATGGGATGGACTATTAATGGAAAAGGTTTTCAATTTTGTTGTATCGGTCAATTAAGTTTATTTGGATTTTGTTTGTGTTGGTGGAGGTTGTAGCTGGTCAGTGACTTTTGATAACTAATATGATTATCAACGTCTTAGTAATTAAGGGGATGATGGTCCCAAATGATTATTGATTGTGGAGTGTGCAGGGGCATGGAGACAGTTGACAATATCTTATATTCTGACATGGCTTTGATACTTGATAAGGCATTATGTGATCTCCTGTGTTCTTGTACATCTATCTTATGCTCCCTTTTGCATGTGGTAGGAAGATTATGCATCTTACCTCAATGACTCGTATGTGCTGGAATGAAAGGCATATGAATATTTTTGAGGATGTTGCTCTCTTAGTCTCATTCCAATACATTGAGTTTATTTGTTTTTTTTTCCCCTGTTTTTTCACCAGATTTTCAAGTTCTTTCTTTTTTCTCTGTAGGCGTGTGTGTTTTTGGATCACAAATATTTGTTTTTCTTTTGTATGAGAAATATGTATAAAATTGTGTTTTCCCCTTTTATCCGCTGCACTGCTTATCTCTCTATTTTGAAATCTCTAGCCCTTAATGGTTGAAAATATCTGTTGTTGTAAGGACTTGTTCACCTTGTCTTTACTGAGATCCAGCATCTGTGCCATTGACAAAATAAAGTTGCTTCTTTTCCTTCTTCGTTGTAGGTTATCTTCACTAGTAAAGTGGCTTTGATGTTCATAACTTGAGCTTGAAGGCATGCATATTAAAGTATGAGCTTTCTTTTTCCTACACCTTTGGCACACAATAAGTATACTCAATGGTGTGTAAGTTTATTGTTTCTATACAAGCGTTACTTAGGGAGGGAGAATTAAACTCAAGACCTAAGGTGTTGGGATAAATGCTACTTGAGCTACAAGGTCCTTGCAGATTAGTATACTGTAATATGATGCTTTGAGTATTATCTTTTACCCTTAAGGAAGAAAATGAGAAATCTAGAAATCTAAATGATTCTACGATGAAGATTGTTGAGTCTATAAAATACAAATTCAGCTCAGCCTATGGTTAAAATGTGTCTAGGCTCTCTCTATTTCTCTCTTGCCTATGTGTGTTTCCTCACCAAATGGCAGCGATTACCCCTGTACCTAACCTTTAAACTCCATCTGTCAGTTTCAAGTTTATTTATGGCATGAAACAAATCAAAGTATGGGTCTGGCTTATTATTACGTAAGTAATAAAATCACTAATCAGGGCATGAAATGGAGAGGGAAGATGTAGTTGGGCTAAAAAGTATGCTGTCTCATGGACGTTCAACTGCTGCAATTAGGAGTGTGTATCAAAGTAACAATGGAGAGATAAATAAGGACAGAGATTAGGCTATCATTGAAAGTATCATTTCTTGATCCTCGTCTCTTCAGATTTGAGGTCAGATTAGTTGTGCAGTGTTTCCATCAGTGAACAATTAACAGCTTAGATTATGATGGCTGCATATTGCTTGTTTGCTGGAATCTTGCAACAGTTCTAAAAGATAAAGCATTTTGTTATAATTACGTAGCTTAATCTCTTGTATGGGCGCCCGTTCTAAGTTAGTGATATTTTGTATTGCTTAGGATACTGTTTTACTCAATATTTCTTTGGCTGTGTACCCATGAGTTGGCTTATGGCTAGTGGTTCGCAATTTGTGTGTTGGACTGCAAATATCTTTATTTTAATAGCTTAGTTTTGTTGGAAGTCAGAGCCATTGATATTATTATGTTCAACTTAAAGTGTGTGTGCATGCACGTTTGTATATAACTGAAAGGGTGTTGCTGCCGACCCTTACAAGTTCCGTTCCTATTGTTTTTCAGGAATTGCTGCCTAGGATCGTCATGTCTGATATCACGACATTGTAGGTGAAGATAATGAAGCAGGTGAACTGTGAATTTTGCACACCACCGCCGTTTATATATCTCAGTAAGAGAGATTTGGTTAGTAAGAGCTAACTGGGAGTGGCTGTTTTAAAGAAGTTAGAGTTAGAAGCTAAAAATGGATTTTGTGTTAATGCATTGAGTTTTGAGTTACCAATTTTAGGGTTTTTCGGTTTTGTTTTGGTCTATGAGTGAGATGTAAAATCAGATTGCGGGATATAGTCAGAAGTGTATCATGCATCTCCGGTGAGGCGGTGATACCCAAAAGAAAAAGAGAGAAAAGGAAAGAAAAAAAAGAGAGAAACTGATATATATTTTTTTCCCTCTTAGAATTTTATCTGTAAAATCTTCTGGCCAAGTTGTGGGTTCTGGTCAGGGAATGCTTCTTCTTCTTCTTTTTTTCCCAATCATTTGGTTTGTTTTTATTGTACCTGAGCTGAGATTAATGTTGATTTACTATTAGTGTGAAACATTTTAAGGGTTTACCCATCTAGGGACCCCCATCAATAAGTAATCGCATATCCTGATCTTTTTATGTTGTATTTTTACCCTTTTGAAATCCTTTTTATTTTACCTCTTCATAAGATTTTGGAATTAAAAAAACTATGGTTAAAAGGAAATTATGATGCAGCCATGGCCGCTGCTGTGGCCGTGGCGCAAGTGGCGGCAATGGCCGTTACCGGTGGTTGTGGTTAACCTCTTTTTCTTTTTGTTATTGAACTTCCGAAGTTTGATAAAAGTAGGAAGGACTTCAAAATTGGGGAGGAAAAGCTAAGGATTATTTGGTCTTCTATTATTTTTTAATACAGAAAAAAAAAATCTCAAGATTTGAGGGCAACACATTGGGAAGTAATTGTTATTTAATTATTTAATTATTTAATTATTTTGTTACATGTAAAAATAAAATTAGTTAAGAGCCAATGACACATGTCACATTTAGAATGAGTGGTAATGCTCATTACCTGGTAAGGATGGTGCAAATTCGAATTCTAAGTAAAAAGGAGGCAAAATCTTTAAAGTATTATATGAACTTATAAAAGTCTTTTAATTTGTAATTGAAACTAAAATATTAAACGAGTTGTTATATTAATTTGCAAATATCACATAGAAACAATAGTTTAACATATTTGAAGAAGAAAGAAGGGAATAAATGCAGCTTATTAAAATTCTCATGCAAAATTGAGAACAAATATATATTTTTATTAGAATTTCAAAGAAGATAGGTCCAACATTGGGCTACATCTTCTGTTTACACTCAATTATATTGAATACTAATACAATATGAAATTATGGGCTCAATTTGCAGATTACTTCGGGAAGAGAAAATTTGACTCACATCCACCATCTTAATTAAAGTTTTAATACAACGTAGCATCTAAGATTAATTCTGTTTATTTTTTCGTTCAAAATATTGAATTTCCATGACCCTTCAAAAAAATATGTTAAAGATATTTTAATGCACATCAAAATATCTTTGAAAAAGGGTCAAGTGCAACATTTTGGACGGAACAATAGACGGAGTTAAGCTGTAGGTGGTATGGAAACAAAACTTTAATTGATCAGTGATAGTGAAATTCAGTTTTTCTTTTCAAATCGAGTTTTAAAACAAGGCTTATAGGCTTATAGCTCAACCGTACAATTTTAGCATCGAACCTCACAGTTGGTTCTAAAGCTGAAGAGTGATGACATCTTGGGATTGCACGGTTTGAGTTCAAGAACAGAAATCTCGTTGATAACTTGAGCTTTGTTTGCTTCAAACTGCTCATCATCTGCATATAAATTGTAGTTTGATTTTATTAAAAATGAGTTCGAAGGAGAAAGACGAACGACAAGGAGTAAATTTTGAATCGAAACAAAGAAACCCTACCTTTCTCAATGGTGAAGTCGTTAAAGAAACGAAGAAGCTTGGTTCTATTTGTGACAAGTACATTAACAATCTCAGGAGGCTTATTTTGGTTTGCAACAAATAACTGTCATTAACAAAAACAAGAAATTAATCGCACTTTAAATACACTTGTGAGAAGTGAAAAATTAGATTTTTTGAGTGCTAATAATAGTTCTATCTTTATTGCACTAAAAGGTTAAAAGTTGGTATTCGGGACAAACCTTGAAGACCTGAAAGGTTTCTAACTTGATTGTCTTCTTTGGATCCTGCAAAAATGTGATTTATAAACAAAAACACGTAAAGGAATTAAATAAGTGCTATATAATATATGTAGAGATGGCCATGCATGATACAGGTGCATGTGTTTGTACTTTGCACGAACATGACGTGCGTCTGCGTGTAAATAGAGGAGAAATTCTGCTATATCACTGTGTATATTTCTGGTTATACGACAAGTTCTCGTGTGAGGAAGAGGGAGGGATTCTATACCCTGAGAAGGTTCATTAGGATTATCATGTTATCCAGAGAGCACACATATCGAACCATCACATCGGAGTTTGAGCGATCCAATAACATATCTCCTAACAACTGAAACAAAATTTCAAGATGCATGTCAATAATAACAATTATGGTTCTCAAGACGAAAATAACATAGAGAAACAAATTGAATGGTATGCAAGAAAATCAACTGAAAAATAATCTGTAAATTGTAATACCTTGATGGCCTGGCGTTTGGTGATATAATTGGGAGACTCCAACAACTGGGAATTGTACTCTTGGAAAAACTGTAATCAAAATCACAGAAAAAGATAAATTAAGAATTCAAATATTGAAACTTATAGTCTGCAAAAAGTAAAACATGATAGATATGGAAATTTAAGTAATTATTATCTGATATTTGCTGACTGCCCAAATTGCTAAAAGCATCTAAATAGTTGCCAACTTCCAAACAACCAGAATTTTTTTCATGAAGATTATGAATCCTTACCCACTCATAGTTTTCAGAAAGGAATTCAGCAACAGTTGATTTGTGCCTAGTCATGAGCTCCTATTCAAAGTATGACAAAGAGTTAATGATCAAGCTAGTGAAATGATCATTCGATAAAATCTGTTAAGTGTTTGAAGTTGACCAAACCTTGAAAGTAGCCGCAGCATCCGACGCTATGTCGAAATTTGGAGTTTGAATGTAGTAAAAAAACTTCTTCATGTGGTCTGATTCGAGGACATACCTGTGACATTAACCAACAATAATGATTCATTATATAATATACAAGCTCATTTAAAAAGATAGGTTTTGACACTCAATTAATTACAAAACAAAACGTTACCTTGCAATATTCTGATGACGAATGCATTCCCTTGAAATTGCACCATAAGATAGAGCAATATCACCACTGTCTTCATAGCTAAACCAAACCAAAACAAACGGTTCATTACGATTAACTCCAGTAATGGACATATACATTTTTGAACTTCATTACTGGTACATTCTTACCCTTTTATCAGAATGTCCATAATATCAATATTATTCTCCAAGTACTCTAACGCGATCGAACGCGACTGAACCTTTTGCCTTTGTAAATTTGCAATGACATGGGTAGCGTTTTTACGATCCTACAACACATGTACTCAAATATTAACGCAAATGTAACATGCTTAAATAATGCAATAGGGCATATAAACTCATGTAATTATCGCTTACCCCCAAGTTGAGCTTTGAAAGACAAACAATGAGGAGCCTGAAAGTGTTCTCCCTAAAAAACTCTTGTGTTAGTTGTGCACAAGAATCTTTATTTGGTTCTGAATCATCATCTCCATATACAACAGTTCTTATCTCCAATATTGCTTTTGTCAATTCTTCCATCTATCACAAAGTCCAAACAAAATGTCATTAACCTAACAATTTCATTAATTTCAAAACCATACTCACTCTATAAGCTTATTAAGCTACACAACCCAAAAAAATTTAAATTCCATGTCTAAGTGCATTGCAAAATAATTCTGCGTCGTAGGGTTCAATTTTTCAAAACCCAAAAAGAAAAAACAATCAAACAATCATGCTCCATAAACAAATCTACAATACAAATGAAAAATGCAAACCTTTTCTTTGCGTTTTTGCTCGCGCACATCATTATTTTGATCAACGAATATTAGAAGCTCACGCATGTGCTTTACAAGCTCTATCGGCGTTCTCGCCTTAGGCTTAAAAAGACCTTTGATTGTCAACTTTTTCGCCATTACAATAGACTCTTCATTCAAACCACGCCTACTTTTCTTACTTTACATTTGGAATTCGACTTCAGTTAGGGTTTAAGAGGAAGGCAGGAAGAAAGAGAAGAGATTGAAAATTTTAGAATCTACAATCCATACCGGTTTTTTTGGGACAACAAAGAGTTGTTGGAATCTATAAATATAGGAACCGTTGATAAAGGGGATAAACTTGCTAATCAATTCGTGACACGTGGAATCTAAATGAGAGTAGGGGCCAATTTTCTTGGAAGGATATATGTGCTGCCAGAGGATTAAGGTTCTAGAGGGACAGAAAGCTAGATGTAGGTTGGATTTACAACTACTACAACCAGAAAATAGTAAATACAGGCTTAGAATGCAAGGGCAAAAAGGATAAGAAGAAGATAAAATTAGACGAGCATTTGTTTTTTCGCTGTATCGGTATGTTTTTAGCTTAAATTTTTAAGTTACACAATAATTAAGAATGTTTTACACATTGTTGTCGTTTTAGGTTTTGTGTTAAGTTCTTGTAGACACAAGATTACCTAGCACATAACATAGAGTGCGACGATGGTCTTTTCTTTGGACAAACCCTAACTTTCATGAACTGGTCTCGAAACCCTAGTTAGAGTTATTTGCCTTAATTTGTCGACAAATCTAGTCCGACTTGCAGATGGTTTGAGTCGAACCCTAAGGTTGTAAATCGGCATGAAATACTTGAGTTTACTTAAGGTTCGATTTGTGTTTGGCTCATTGAAGCTCAGCTCATGAAAGAAACAAGTCAAGTCTAGGTTTGACTGTATAAGAAACAAGCTCTCACATTCGTACGTTTGAGTGGTAAACCGTGAGTAGCCGCAACTTTTTATGAGACAACTCGAACTAGATTCTATTCAAAAAGTTTGCTTGGAATAGGAAGTTATGTTTGAAATTTTGTTTTTGATGAATTATGTTTAATACTTTATCTCTAAGTTTAGATTGACCATCTTCGGTTTGTTTTTTTCTTATTAAGATGGAGATTGATATTATGTTGTCTTATTTTGTTTCTAAAGATAGACTCGTATAACAATTGAAAGTAAAACTGTCACATCCCGGCCCGGGGCGGATCACTTCCCGGGCTCGCTCCACCACCGTAGCACGATATTGTCCGCTTTGGGCCCCGACCACGCCCTCACGGTTTTGTTTTTGAGAACTCACGAGCAACTTCCCAGTGGGTCACCCATCATGGAAGTGCTCTGGCCACCTTCTCGCTTAACTTCGAAGTTCTGACAGAACCCGAAGCCAGTGAACTCCGAAAAGGCATCGTGCTAGGTAGGGATGATAATATACATTTAAGGATCACTCCTCTGGGCGATGTGAGATGTTACAATCCACCCCCTTTAGGGGCCCGACGTCCTCGTCGGCACACCACCACTAGG